GCAGATCCTACAAGAACTGGAGTCGATTATACGATGGACCATGCAGCCGCAGGAGGAAATCAAGCTGTTGGATTGCATCGAGGAGCAAGGATTAACCACGGGAGCTATCGCGGGCCACAGAAACATCTAACCAATCCCACAGTAGGAAGTGTTGACACAGTTCCTGAATCCTCAGTTTGAGTGGAAGATTTGATTAGAGTCATTAGACAAAATCAGTTGTTGCATGTAATAGAAGAAGAAATAAAGAGTCTTTATGTATTTTCTTCATGTTGAAGTAAAAAACAAAAGTGGATAAACAAAGTTTCTTTGAGTTGGAAAAGTACTTTTCTCTCTTACCACATAAGGCTTGATAGTGAAATTTTACTTGAGTACAACTCAATGTATAATAGTGCCCTGCAAAAGTTAAAGCATAAAGGGCAAATCAATCCCAACAAAAACCATCAAGCAAGATCAGCCAAAGTGTTTAAAGTTCTCTGCTTTACCGCTTAGACGACTCTGGTCCTTACCATTTTTCTAAAAAAGTGTGAATCAAACAAAGAACTACAACTTGAAAATAGTTGAAGAAAGATTTTTCATTGTAGAATTGGTTGGTATGTATAGAACATAAGCTCAATGTAACCTTCGTTGCCTATATAATATATAACATACACTATGAATTGGTTTGGTTCTTGCATACACATAAGTAAAAGCGTAAACAACGAAAAACACAGAGATATAAGAGAGTTTTAATAGGTGTAACAAGCTTTGTATCGGTGTGATGATAATCTTGTAAACTATTGAACTTTTATTAAAGGAACTTTGTTCATCCGTTGTTAGATGTTACCGGCAGCATCGCATTGCATTCTTCTAGTAGATTTAGTAAGTCGTGTTCAGGGGCACTAACTGATGGCAAGATTGAACGATTAGACGGGCTCGGGCGAGGCGGTTTTGGCACGGGTCCATCAGATTCACCAGCAGACTCATCTTTCATACTCTGCAAATCACCTTTTCTCCTCATAGTCGCCGATACTCTCTCCTTCCAGATTCTCCCATCCTGTTTTTACAAAATCCCAAAAAAGAGAAAACAATCACTAAAAAGATTGCAAATTCAAAAACTTTATAGCTTTCAAACAAATAGCTAAACTTAGATCAACAAGGAACCAATGTTACATTTAGAATGGATGGTTCGGGTAATGGACATTGAATCGGTAGATCATTGTCCAAAGGCTCAACTGGATGTTCCACTGGTTTGAATTCGGTAGCTACTTCAATCCCATGAGTTGCAGTTGTTGTTCCAGTGTTGGTANTTGTTGCAGTAACATCAGNTTTTGGAGCTAATACTTCCTTATCATNCTGAACACAAAGTGNAAAAGAAACAATTTTTCAATAACTTTAGATTAATCTAACAAAAACCCCATTCATAGAGTTGAAAAAAGACCAAAGCTTTTAAGACATAATAATCATTAACACAAACAAAACTCACCCTTTTGGTCNGAATTGAAAAACTAAACGATTTNANGCATCTATATAGTTTTNTANTGGAAAATCCAATTTTGGGGATTTCAAANCNGAGCTAAAGGTGAGATTTTTACACAGTTTTGAACCAAACAAAGATCTAAACATGTTCCATAGATTCAAAATCAAGAACCCAGAAGCTCTAAGAAGAAGAAAAGCTTACGATTGCACTCTGTGTTCTTCGATGGCTGCTTCTACCAACAGAGAATCTGGAGAAAATACCAACCATAGTTTTGATTGAATCTGAAATCTTCTTAGGATCCTGACTTTGGATTTCAACTTCAAGAGTTTCTATATATTCTCCA